CCTTAGCCCCACTAGCTTGAACGGTTTGTTTGACCTTTCTCTCGAAATGGCGCGCCTCGCACGGAGCCGGGGCGAGGGCCGTGCAGCGGGCTCAGCCTTCCACCTCCCCGCGGAACGAGCCGTCCCTCATCAAGCTCGCTTGCGTCTTGCAACGCTCCCACACACACACGACGTTCTGACAGTGGCTTTATCGGTAGCCCTTGAAGAGCACCCCCGTCCCACCCCCCAAAGAGGTGGGGTCGAGCCAGCTGGGCTGCGCAACCCCAGGGGGGAAAAAGGCTGTCAGGACTATTGCCCAGGGACACATCGGAGCCGTTTCGGGCCGGCTTCGGTCGGCCTCAGCAAGCATCTGGGGAGACGGCACAAGCCGAGGGAGGCGGCAGGATCGGGCTGCTGAGGCGTCTCCGCCTCCTGGCTGCCTCCCCTCCCGCAAGCGCTGCGCCAAGCGGGACCGGCAGCCGGCTTGCCTGAGGCTGAGAAGCCTCGCTTCGGAGCGCCCCCCCCCAAGACTCAGCGCGGAGCCCCTTGGGCGCTGGATTCGTCCACAGCTGAAGGAAGAGGCGCGGTTGGTAAAGACGACGTGCCACGTGGTTTTCCACGCCGACCCATTTTCCTTCATCATCCTCGGCTGCGGTCCTACGCCCAAGAGAAAATAAAACACGCCTAAGCTTGAGAGGTCGCCAGAATCACCGGCAGGCCTCTTTTTATTCTGGCCGCAAAAGGCTAGAACTCTTTTTATTCCGCAGCCGAAAAAAGGTTAGAACGGTTGAGGACCTGGACTGTAACCTTGCCGGCAAGGTTTGTTGGCTTTGTCAAAGGTTCATCAACTGGATCCCAAGTTTTAGAGGAGTACCTGGAAAAGTTATTTTTAGGGGGCCACAAATCCCAAACCCTGGAATCGGAGCTGTGGTGGCCAGGCTACCTGGAGGATTTTGTAGTCCAAACAAGTAACTTTTCCACGCTTGACTCGGAAAATTATATCAGCACCACCGCTGTCAGGGCCCTTAGCGACCATGGGTGGGGAAAGCAACAACTGATGCAACGATGAGCAGATAAGGAATGGCAGAGTGCATTTCTGTCATTCCAGAATACTGTGGCCGGAGCCTCTCCTGCACACCTGAAAATGAGGGACGTTCAGCACTGAATCCATAAAAGCAGTAAGAGATCTCTATTTCGGCTGCCATTAAAGGAGGAGGGAAGGGACGAGGCCTCCCATATTTTCAATCCTTCGCCTACCACAAAACACTCCACACACCGAGCACACAGGTCTACGCACTCCGGTGTCAAAAGATTCAGCAATCTAAGCAAGAAAACGTCGCGATTTAGTCTGAGCATCAGTTCGAATTGAGGGTGTTAACTAGTCAGATGCGGAGTTCGATTGTTATTACACAGGACGAGTACTAAAAGATTCCCCCCCACCCAAAAAAGAAAGAATACGTTCATGTTGTAAACTTTCTAACGAGACTGATAAATTGCAAGGTCGAAGAAGGCTTCTCTTCTAACCCACTTTAGTCTTCCTTAGAAAAACATGGTGTAAGGTCACACGGGCAATTACCAACTATTTTTAAACACTGCTACGTTTCACGGGCACAGTAGGTTGCTTTGTTTCTTGCAGAGCGCTGTGACGAAGCCAGTCCTATGCTATGCACAATGCAGGCCAAGGAAGAGTATGTTATCAGCCAGTCTATACCGCAGAATCGAGTCCCGCTGTTCTCTCTTCGCCGCGGCCAAGGCGGGCGGCGGCGGCGGCGGCGGCAGAGCAAGCTTCGGAAGTGATGCGATCCAGCCCTTAACTCTACGCGTGTCTGCTTTGAAGGAAGCCTCCACCACCACCACCACTACGTACCACCACCCCCAGCTCAATGGGACTGACTCCCCATGGCTTGCTATTATGTAGGAACGCCGGAGCGTCCCGATGAGAGCCGCGATCGATCGATCGACCGAACGAATACCAGACGGGCCCCCAGATTTAAAGCCCGGCGGCCACGCCCACTTCCTTGCTGCATGTGGAGCAGAAATGACAGGTGGAAATGCTTTGAAGCGCGCGCCGCCTTTCGAGTTGGGGGCAGAGAGCACCCGTGCAAGGGACTTGGATTGGATTTTTAGGTGGCAGAGCCCGAGGGAGCTTATGGGGAGGTCAGGATGTCGCCGAGAGGCGAGGGCAGCCGTGTCCAGTTCGTGTGGCATCTCTTCCCCACCCACGCGCACATTGCGCCCTTCCGCGGAAAAGCCGGGTTGAAGCGCGCGCCGCCTTTCGAGTTGGGGGCAGAGAGCACCCGTGCAAGGGACTTGGATTGGATTTTTAGGTGGCAGAGCCCGAGGGAGCTTATGGGGAGGTCAGGATGTCGCCGAGAGGCGAGGGCAGCCGTGTCCAGTTCGTGTGGCATCTCTTCCCCACCCACGCGCACATTGCGCCCTTCCGCGGAAAAGCCGGGCCTCCCTCCCTTCTCCTCCTCCTCCTCGACCATGTCGCCCGACAAAGCTGTGACAAGCGGAGGCAACGACAGCGATTCTCGTTCTCTCCCCCCCCCCCAGCA